CATGTTTCCCTCAGAGCTGAAGGTTTGGTTCATGGGAAGATTGAGGACTTCTTGGCCCACAAATGCAAAGACAGGTGTGATGCAATGGGCCAAGGCTTCTGCACAAACTTTGATGATCAAGTCTTGCGGACCAAAGGGAACCAAGTCGCTTGAGCCAAGAATGACCAGGTCGGTACAGGTAGAAACTCTGAGCACCAATTCTCGTGCAGCAAAGAGTACCAAGGATCGTGTTGCTCTCACGACGATGGCTCGTGTGGCTCTGACAATGATGGCTCGTGTGGCCATAAGGACCAGATCGCGTGGAGCTCGGACAATGAGCTGTAGATAGGTTTCGCTGGTTGGAAGAGCAAAGATTTGGCTGTTGAGAACGGTGGCGTTGCCAATAAAGCTCTTGATTATGTTGGTGATCCCTCCAATAGCATCGGAAACGGTTCGACCGACTGCAGCAATGGAAATGGATCCGAAGATGGCTCGGACGCCTGCAACAATGGTGGTGGTTTGGGTGGCGATGACACTGTGGACTGCTGGTGCAACTGCAACTCGACTGATGAGCTGCTGAGCAATGACAGGCATGGCGGCGACGAGCATGACAATCAGAGTCAACGCAAGTGGCATGGTGATGGTGTTGATGATGGTGTTGATGATGTTGTTGTTCATGAAGATGAAGGAGAACATCGTTGCGATAAAGTTGTTTGTTTGCTGGTAAGGAATAAGTTCGATATCACACACAAAAGCTTGATGCTTTGTTTTTATGAGCATTTCTGAGTGAATTCAAGATTGCAGCACGGTCTTGGAAAGAAACGGGTTGAAATCGTTTTCATCGTGGAAACACGCTCACGGTCGCTAAAAGAAACGACTTTCATTTCGCCTGCTGGAATTTCTTAATGAAGCAATCCGAAGTCGGCCGTGTTCTTCGATCATGCCTTTATTCAGCTTTTGAAGGCGATGGCGCCTGCATAATGGCATGGACGCAAAAGCTTCATCATCATTGTCATACGGTTTGCTACATCAAACTTTTTATATATCATCTTCGGTCGATTCGAACGAAACGGTTGCATGATCGACTACTGCGACTAAAATCCATCGCAAAACAAACGACTAACGAAATACCTGTATATAGGTACTGCCGTGCACCTTCCACCTGAAGCAATCCGAAGTCGGCCGTGTTCTTCGATCATGCCTTTATTCAGCTTTTGAAGGCGATGGCGCCTGCATAATGGCATGGACGCAAAAGCTTCATCATCATTGTCATACGGTTTGCTACTTCAAACTTTTTATGTCAATGTAGAATATAGAAAAAGTGTAAATATTGATGCACGCAAGTGGTGCTTACACATTATAAAACACAGTACTATACAATGCCTATTCTACCAGCTAATTAAAATTGTCAAAGTATGATTGATTGAGGCTCGGTGCTTGTTCGTCAAAACTCGTCGTCGCTAGGTTGCTATATATCATGGTCATCAGGAATTACGGTTTCCGGTTTCCAGAAATGGATGAAGTGACATGCACCAACGCCATCAGCTGGCTTGAAAAGGGTCAGGTTCGTTCAAAGGCGTCAGCATTCCAACCATGTGCCCCAAGTTAATGGTGGACACCATCGGAAGCCGTCACCAGCGTATGATCATTCGTTAATCCTTGGCCGACGCCAACTGGCGAGGAATCGCATGCCATCGCTATTCTGCTCGCACCACGATATGGACTATGAGCCATCATCGTGTAGAAGTATTCGTATCGCTCGGTCTACCTCTTCTTCCGTTATACCCTGTGTAGTGTCACAGTGAATGAACCTTTTCTGCAGGAACTCGGAGTCGTCGGCAGCTGTTGGACGATCGTCCAAAATCACAAATCGAATGCCGTGTTCCTCACTTATTTTGTCATAATGACCGCCACCACTATTAGCCGAATTGTGGATCCCCATCTCAAGTTGGAAGTATTCCTGTAACCAAGCTCGAATCTCTTGGGCACGACTAGAGTATTCTTGATCGTCGCTCGCCTTTCGACCTTTCATGCTGCGATTGAATCCGGGTGTCGATCCAAGAATCTTTTCTTCAGGAATTCCATAGTTGCTTAGAATGTAGGAAATGTAGTCTCGAAAATGCCTCCAGTAGGTGCTTAGTACAATATTTGCCCCAGTCGTCTCGACAAGACGTCGAAAACGTTCCAACAAATCATCATCGAGCCGGATATGTGTTGCATGTTTGGTTCGATTCAAAACCTGCAATCGGGAGTGCGACGATAAGGGCGCAGCAAAGATCAGATGCAATGATATTAACAATGCAGAGGTAGATATAATGTGAGATGAGCTTCCGAAGAATCGAATGGACAGAGAAAGGATGCGGTCGTCATTTTCAATCGTCCATGAGCAATACAAAAACAAAAAACCTACCTACCCCATCAATATCCAAGAAGATAATCGGAGAATGACTTTGCTGAGATTTCTCTCCCTCATTCATGATATGTGATTTCTTGTTTGATATTAACAGTTCTGATCTATGATGTTGCTTGGAGCTCATAGCACTGTGGGTATATTATAATATCAGATATGATGCAATGACAGGATAGTGCTTTGAGATTTTGAACCTGCGATGATAAAAGGATGATTCGATTTCAGGCATTGATATATCATCCGTCGGCATCATCTCCCGGGCCTACACGTGGAAGACATTTGAGGGAGAGGGAATAGTTAGAAAAGGGGTGGTATCCCTCTCTGACTTCAGACATTTCACAAAAAATAAAAACGAGCATCATCAACAATATAAACGCAGTCATCAATACATACCGGTATATCTTCGTACACCATCCCATGACAAAGGTCTTGGACGCTCTGATCTGTCTGACTTTCTTCCCCTTCTTCGCCAAACGTTTCAGCTATCCAGTTGTCCCACAAGTCACAAACAACAGTATGCTTAGGGTATTTCGGCCATGAAGTTTCGGTATTATACGACTCACAGGATAATCTGATAGACAACAAATCCTTATTATTGCACAAAATCCCAAATTTATTGGGCGTTCAGTTGGCACAATGTTTTCAGACTATCATCGACCGCGCCAAGAACGACATACGATTTCGAAAAACAACCAACTCAACCATGCTACAAAGAAGCTGAGGCAACGATTGTGCTTTGGCTTAGTATTGGCTTTCTTCATCTGCTGTATATGTGCCTCTGTTCTACTGAACCCATCAACACTTGAATATGATTCATCTGCGCTAATCTTTTGGATGGAGAACAGCACGGGTACTTTTGGTGCCTCGCAAAGAAGCACCAACAACCCCGATGACAATCATCTCATTGACGATTTCAGTTCCAGCTTCAGAATAATTAAGGCAGACAATAATAATGGTTCATCAGCCACCAACGCGCAGATTGAACTGCTCCGCCCCACTGGTCGAATGGTATATTCCTATGTCCGAGGAGACCGTTCCGGAGCTGCCATTCAAGACATGCTCATGGCGCATGCCTTTGCCTTTTCCAGAGGTCAAAGATACGGAGGAGCTTGTCAACGAAGGGAGTTTAAGGATTATGTCATTCAACCCCGCAGGGATTTACTTCGGATCCTAGGACTGGAATCCGAAATGCCCTTTCAATGCTCCTCCACCGGTAAACTCATGAATCGCGCCAAGTATACCCAGCAAGATACCGGTATTTTCACACCCAAGTATCTGAAGTACATGCATGCTGTCATGATGATGGAGAAGCAGCAGCAGCAGCAGCAGTCATAATTTGCGCCCCAAACAAATCACCGTACACATTCGTCGGGGTGACATTACCCCATGTCGACCAAGAACCAATGGATTTCCTCGCTATCTTCCCAATCAGCATTACTTAAATCTGATCGAACGCTACAAGGCCAAGTTACTACTGGCCAAGAATGACATGGCGGACAAGCAACCCATCAAGGTAGTCGTCTATTCAGAATCCGAAACCTTTGAACCGTTGGATGAATTCTCTCAAAAGGGATATGATCTCTGACTAGACGGTAGTATTGACCAAGTCTGGAAGGCCATTGCTTTTGAGTCCGATGTGGTGATTCTTTCTCGATCCAGTTTTAGTCTGGTACCGGCTGTCTTAAGTTTGCCAAATACTACAATTGTTTACACTCCCTTTTGGCACAAACCACTGCCCCACTGGGATGACCTTGGCACATTGGATCCAGTTCTAATGAACACCACGCTGGCCGAGTTCCGTCGACTCAAGTTAACCTGTCCTCCGAAAGTGGAACGGAAGCGTCAAGAGAAGGAGCGGAAACAAAACATCAAGTATTCTTAGGCCGAATATTCTATGCTATGCTATGTAAACGTTCGTTTTTTGCAATTTCAATTTGAGATGGGTCGGAGACAACTATCTAGATCGCAAATGGCAGCTCCAGATCCTGAATCAGCGCAGGAGACTTCGTGGCGTGTACGTACCGTCCGAACAGGATCATTTGTATAGCCTCATCTACCATGTAATAATCCAGAAAAAGTCGATTACGCCGACGCATGTCTCTGTGATGAAGGAGCTTGGAAACTTTACCAACGCTGAAGCGACCGACAAAACGTTTCGGAATGGATACCTAATGGTGAAACCACATGACCACACAGTGTACTTTTTTGATCAGGCAGGCCTAGAATAGGAAGAATCACCTTGATCGAGTGGTGACTTATCTATTCAAGACATGCGATATGTGACATCAAAAGATGTGTACATAGTGATCACCAGAATCTGTCAGTCCTGTTCAGATTGTATGGCATCCTACTTTCGTCTTGTACAGGGATTTACAGAGACGTTGTATTTGTGCTTCCTCGTCGCTAGTGGTGCAGACCAATACTTATTGTTCATATGGTCGTAAACGCAGTTGCAACATGCATATACATTGGAGTTGGCAAACAAGTGAGTGGTACTGGGTCAATATCGCTCCAGAGAGGAAGTTGATCGATGGCCGTTACAAGCAGTTGAGTGGGTTCCTTTCGTTCAACCATTATTCTTCGACTGCAAAGATGGAGACAATAGGTCTGACGATGCTAAGTGCAATAGGATTGAAACGCCACGACGAGGAACAATTGACAGTATAGGTGCATCTGACAATAGCCAGTTTTTGTCTTGACCAAACATACCATGTGAGTTGTATCATATTTGTAATTTTAGAAAAGCATGTGTATTAGTCCTATATGGCAAAACTACCCTAACTAGTAATACCAAGTCTTTCAAATGCTGTCGACTGACTGACTCATTTTTCGTGGCAGTCGTCACGTTCTAAAGGAACTCGCAAACACTCGGAATGATTGTCTCTGCTCCACATCGTATCCGGTAGGAATATCGATCCAATATTTCTGCCGAAAAACTTATTGCTTCTTGAGAATGTGCCATAGTGACTGCGATCTTCCAAAGAGTGAGTTCCAACAGAGACAGTACCTCGAGACGTTCGTATTGTGCCAGTTTGGATTCCACCCAACTCAAGAATGCTACCTTTGCCCTTGCATTGCTTGCAGAGGTAATCGACCGTATGGCTTGAGAGAGATCCTCCCTCCATTGGACCAATCCCCAGTGATTCATTCGATCCAACATGGTACGCTGGAGTACCATTTGAATGAGGTTGGCCGTGTTGGGTGCCTCGTTCTGGCACAAGTAATCCACTGGCCTATTTCCATATTTGTCGTTTTGCGTCAGCGTATCGATGGGCAGCAGATTTGTCAATTCAAGAAAGAAATCTTCTCTGGGTTTTGCGGAAACCCCCAAAATGTGCAAGGGTGTCATGCCAAAGGAATCGACACAGGCACCATCCTGCTCTGGCTGGTTTACTACATGCTGCGTCACACAAGTCGCAAGGTCCTCAACAGTCAAAGCAGTACTCCCAGCATTGTAGCAGAGTTTGTGAATTGGGAGCTTGTCAAATCGATGAGTCAAAGACGTGAGGAGGTCCCCACCAAAGCAACGACCTTCCAACATGGAACAGCCCGAGAACGCATTCTTGGCGTATTCCCCTGCTCGATCCGACGAGTGTGCGGGGAGGACAATCATTCGTAACGATTCGCAATCCGCAAAGGCCTTGGAGAGTATCCACTCTAGGCCGTTGCAAAGTTCCACGGCTATCAACGAGCGGCAGCCACGGAAGGAACCTTGTTCAATCGCCGTGAGGGATGGTGGAAGCGCCACTGATTTGAGCGACTTGCAGGATTCAAAGGCAGAGCGATGAATTCGTTGCAAGGTTGGTGGGAAATCGACATACAACAAGGCTTCGCAAAAGTAGAAACCATTCGCCTCAATGGATTGAATCGCGGTATGTTGCATCTTCATAAACTTCAAAGCTTTGCAATCGTGAAAGGATCTTGCCTTGATGTCCGTCAATTTCTTAGGAAGCGTCGCTTCGGTCAATCTCAAACAATAGAAAAAGGCATACTTTCCAATCTTCTCCACACTGGTAGGTATTGCGACATTTTGCAACGATATGCAACCTTGGAAAGCTCGCTCCTCAATCACTTTCAATCCTTCCTTCAGGGTTAGGTCGACAAGAGCTTCACAATAAAAGAAGGTATACTCTCGTATCGTTTCGACTGTTGAAGGAATCGAAATGGAAGTCAACGACTTGCAATAGTGAAAGGCAGCGGGGCCCAAGAACTTTAGATTGGATGGAAGCGCCGGGTTGGTGTGTGGAATCTTCTTGGTTCGGTCTTGGTCGTCAGCAGATGATGATGTATGAATAATAGTAGTGGTATTCTTGGGTGGATACGATCCAATCTGAGTGAGGGACACACACGCCGAAAAGGCTCGTTCTTCAATTCGTTCCACCGAGTCCGGGAAAAGAATCGTTTTCATCGATTGGCACTTCTTGAAGGACGACCCGCCTATCGTCTTTAAATTGTGACCGTAAATGTCAACTTGCGTTAAATGGGTACAACTCGAAAAGGTTTCCGGCGCAATGTCCTGAATGGAAGAATCCACCGCTACTGCAGTGATGCTTCGTGAAACATCCGATTGACCCATGTAGTGAAAACAAGCAGAGGCATTTAGGCCCAATAGGTCTTCGTTGTTGGTCATTATGATTCTCTGGAAGAGCGAAATTTCTCTGAATCTATGTAGGAATAAAGGAATGAATGAATCAGCACATTTGTTTTCAATAGAAGAAAAGAGCTTAGACCTTCCAAATGTTGCCTAAGATCCAAGACGTAGAATGGAAAAACGGAAACGTGTATTACTGTAATATCCGCAAGAACAAACAACAAAGAGTGATGCCTTCAAGTCATAGTATATGGGATTGAGGATACCGTACTATACTGCACGAGCAAGAATAATTTTGGATTGATTCGGCAGATGATAATGTCAGAGTTTGATGGACCGCGCAATGGAGCGCAGAAGTACACGTATACTCTCTCTCTAGAATTTCAACATCTGAGATTTACGCGGACTCTCGGCAACAGTGCGATGCTGTGACCTTTGTTTAGCGTGAATGTTTAGCGTGGATTTGGACCTATCAAAGTAATTGAATGAACGAAGTGCAGACGACGATAGTGAAATACCCAAACCTCACCACAATGACAATTCAACTCTACACTGGCTTAAAATTAGATCGAATTTTGTAGTCGAATGTTAACATATTGTATTCTATCTTATTGCGGATGTCATGGGAGGAGGTTGTTGCCTAGATACAACTGGAAACCTGGTCATTCTAACTCCTGATGATCTGGCAACAAGCAACAATGCACACCAATCATTCAGCCATGAACCGTAGGTTTTCGTCATATTTGATTTGCCAGGCGGGTTGTCACATTCCTCATTACTCTTCCATATATCATCTTTGAGCGCCATTCTGAGGAAGCATGCTGGCTTGTAGGTAGCAATCATTGAAGAATTGTCGCCAAGCAATTGCTGCTGCTACCCCTGAAACCTTGTATTGCATCAGCTACAGCAGTCGCAAGTGCCTTCATATGTTGTGCATTCTTGGTATGTCGCACAATTCGCCTGAAAGTTCCCCAGTTCGTCTGATTTATTTCATTCTATCTCCGTCAATTCTCCATCTTTCTAAGCCAAAAGTGCATCTGTGCAATCTTCAATCCAAAGAAAATATTCACCTTCCATTATCGCTCTTCATCTGTATGATTATCATCTCGAGATTCGTTTCTGGAAAGTAGTGACATTCAGGCCAAAAATTGACGTTTTCAGCTCCTCATAACTTCATCAATCCTGGTTCATTCGCACCCCCAAAAAATGAAAACGCTATTTCTCCAATAGGATCATAGGATACTGGAACGGCGTCGTCTATCTCGAATCCTCATTTTTCCATGATGGGTGATGATGTCCGTTATACCGGTATGGTGTGGGTGATGATGAGGAGGATGACATGTAAACACTAAATTAGCCGCTCTCGACTCACCCCGCCTATGTGCGTGTACGTGTACGGAGAGGAGGTTGATTCCTTATAATTATTGGTTGATTTGCCGCTCAACACCTGGCCTCATACGACACGATCTCAATTAACAACCAAGACACTCCCCTCCGTTGAATTTTAATATGTGCATGGACTGCTCTCGCACCAATTCAAATCATGAACGCGAGGAGTCTTGGAAGCAATTCAAACAGAAACAGAAACAACAGGAAAATCATCATCCTCATCATGAACCATCCTTGTACTACCTCTGTTATGTGCACAGCCCTACCTTGGCGCTTCCATATGCCATCGGGAAGCACCTGTACTTGCCCAATTGTGAGCCTTCCTCCGACTCCATTCAAGATTTGTTTGTGACACCCAGCATGACACCGGAAGAAGCCAAAGAACAAACTGAAAGGCACGGAGTTGCCTTTGTGGAGCAAGTCTTGAGTCCAGCCACCGCCTCCAATTTGCGGCAATACATTCTAAAAGCCAACTATGAAATTGAAGGTACCTTTATCAAGGAGAATGAGAATCGATTTCACATTATTCCTGATCCAATGATGGTTGCGGATGCAGAAGTCGCTGAATCGTTACCAGTATCGCCGTCTTCTGACATTCTTTGAAGCTCCCCAATCATTCGCTGGACTGAATCTTCCGTTACACTTTTTGTCCGTTACACTTTTTGTGACGGTAGACGAGTCACCAGCGTCCGTAATGTCATCATCCACCCCATCGAACTCATATTCGATCACTTCTTCGACAAAGGACGGCTCCATACCCGCGACGAAATGGAACGAATGGTCGCAGAGATCCGTTTGGCTGCCAAGCAAACGGCATCAGAACCTGTCAAACCCAAGGATCTCACCGAGAACGAAGCCCAACAAATGGTCACTGACATCAAGGCAGCTCCTGAAAGCGAAGACTCCGAGACATCGAAAGAGCTCACGGAACAAGAGGTGCACAGAATGATTGTGGAAATGCGCCAAGCCGCTGAAAAAGCCGATTCCGAGGAAGCTGCCGAACGTGAAATGCAGAGAATGGTCGACGAAATGAAATGGGCTACTGAAGAACAAGTAGAAGAAGAAGCCGAAGAACGAGCGTATCTCGAACGAAAACGAAGACAACGACGCCGAAAAATAGAGCGAAGCCAAAGAAGGAGCAAGAGCCCAAGTAGAAGTAGAAGTAGAAGCAAGAGCCACAGCGGAAGAAAAAGCCGAAATAGGAGCCACAGCCGACGATGAAGTTCGAGTCCATGGAGTGACAGCTCCTCAAGCAGTGAGAGTTCAACGGACGACAGATGGAGCAGTGGAACCTCAAGCGGCTGAAGTTCCAGAAGCGAGAGTCCAACACGAGAGCGCATGAGAGGGGCGAGTCTAAAAAGAAGGAAAAGCCGAGCCCGAAGGCGTCGTTCCAAATCCAAGTCCAGCAGTCCCCAGGAGCAGGCTATACACGAACGCTTTGGCTACTTGACAGGACTAATCTCCAAGGAAGATCTGCAAGAAATCATAGATAACGAAACGAGGCGTCGAGAGCAACGACAACTACTCGAACTCGTCTCACGTTCTGATTTGCAAGGCATTTTGGATAGAGAGCGAAATCGCAGAAGTAGTGAATACGAAGATATCCCTATCGAAAAGAAAACTAAGAAGAAGAGACAGTCGAGTCGTGTGTCAGCGAGGGCATTCAATTCACCAAAGAGAAAACACATATGTGAAGAAGAAAAACCAACAATGAGAGAAAATGTGCCCAAGCTGATGCCGAACGTATTTTCGTCAAGCAAAAGGAAGCACAAAACGAGAAAGAAGGACGAAGATGAGATGCTCTCAAAAATGGAGTCGCAAGAGTCTTCAGTGACAGGTGTTGGTAGAACTTTCGAAAACCGTTCAGTTACCTCTTCTATGGGATGGTTTGCATTGGTATGACTGGTCTGGTACTAGCAGTCGTAGCTGTTGTATCCTATGAATCAGCAGAAAGAGAATGTGCCATGAAGTTCGAGATGATTTATTGCAACATAGTATTTATTAATAAAAAAATAAGTGAACTGTAGAGAAAAGTTGGGATGGTGATGGTCGCCCTGATGGACTGTTGGCTATATGCTTGGGACCTATCATTCAAGCAGGATGATTCTGCATCAGTCTTGCATTTGGGTTTTTTACAGCAAAATGCAGTTTGGTTGAACTATGCGTATGGTACGAGATACATACATATGTGAGTATTTATAAATGCTGATGTATAAATATATAAACATAGACGCTTCGGACGAGTCTTGTTCGCTCGTCAGTCATATGCATCTGAGTGAAACGCAATCTTACTCGAATCATCAATATTGATGTTTCATCTTAGAAAATTGTTTTCCTCCTCCAAAATCCTA